TTAACTGTCACCCATCACAAATATCAACCTATAGCCTGTTGTCCGTATTTAATTTGATCCATTGAAGGACTGTGCCCTAATAATAAGGATATTACTAGGCTGATGATTAATTTTAAGCGGGGAATTCTCCAAAGCATGTCCGCGGGCAAGTCTGCAGGCATTTCCACCGGAGCTCGCTAGTATAGGTCTGTGGCTACAACGAACCCACATTAGCCAGTAGTGTCCGACTAAAAGTTTGGTTTCAGTCGAGTTTCAGTTTCGAGAAACTGCACTCGGGAGATGTCGCGCAATGATTGGTTCGTTTTGTTCGGTGCTTCTTTTGTTTAATGTGAGCTCTGGTGGATTGTTGTGAGATTAAGTTTTGTCACACGATATAGCAGAGAGTAGACAATAAACATCAAAAAATTATTCGATATATTTTAAATCGTGTAATGGTCTCCTACGTGAAGTTGGAAGTAATGTGGTGACGCAAAGTGCCATTAAAGTTAAGAAGAAGAAGAACTAATAAGTATGTATATTACAGTTTGATTTTCCTTGACGTCATCTTTCTATAAACGCTGGGACTGTTAAGTCCAATTAACGATAACGATTGGACCAAAGATAGTCATTTCCGTTCTATCATTGATTTCCGGTCTATTAACTAACATATTAAAAAACTGAAATACTAAAATGAACAAATAGATTATGAGTTGTTTATTGAGTTTTGAAAATTAATTTACTTTTATACATGAAAGAAAACCAGAAGGGTTGTCATGGAGCAACCAAGAAAGTACCGTAGCGACGTCTAGTTCGATTTCGGTAACTATTTATTTTTAATACTTTCTTATGCTGTAAATCCGTTTAGGAATTCTGGAGATATCAGGTATAAAAGAATCCGGCGGGCATGTCTGGAGATTTGCGCGCGGGCATGCCGGTCTAGTGAATACCCCGCTTAAATGTGAACTCTGTGAACATCTTTCTCGTACTGACGAGTATTACATAACTATTAATGACTATAGAATTTTTCATTGAATTGATTATTTAAAAGTAAGCACATGTCAAACTGTACGTAAACGTAAGCACGTGTCAAACTGTACGTAAACGTCACTTAAACAGGTTTCCGTATTAGATTTTTGTTTTTTTTAATGATCGGTTAATAGCATTTTGATAAAACTAGGACTTTTAGGTTTGTTAAAAGTAAAAAAACTTAAGGTAAAGAGAATAACCAGTTGATATTATTGTACTTTGGCCAATAGTCGTCTAAAAAATTTAGAATCCCAATAAAAACATCTATATAATTATGTTGACCGTAACAAGGAACCCTTTGTTTCTTAATTAACGTCTCGTTACTTATTGTTCGCTCGTCATCGAGCCGGTTAACGCACCATAACTAAATCTTAATTCGGCGGATGATTAGTTTTCTGTTACTTAACCAGTAACATTGGGTGACAGAACTAATTAATGTTATATTTTTAGATGACAGATACAGATAGGTGTCATGAACATTCTATCTGTGTTAATTGTTTAGTTCTAAAAATATTAATGCTTCTTCATATTATGCATATTGTATGGTCTATTAATGATGCCTTAACCGTAAAATTCCTATCGAATGTCTGTGATAATCAATTAAACTCGTACATTACTTGTATTATTATAAAACGAGGATTAAAGCTAGTACTTGTTTAAACCTTTACCCGTCTAAAGAAAATTGCCAATAACAAAAGAAAAAAAAGAGTTTGACTTATTTTCTAGCACGTTTCATATTTATCGACTATTACTAGCTTTGAAGCCTATTTTATGAAAACAAACAAACAATCAAATCTTTCTGCTTAAAATATTATGTACCTATACTCTCCATCATTCTTTGTGTGTCCTCCTGAACTACACGACGTTGGTATTTTGATGCGATTTTATTGTTGGATAGAAAATATTTTGAGGAAGACAGACATAGTGGAAAATATATCTGTAAGCTGTGCATGTAACCAGTGCAACTGTCCCTATTTAGTATTAGGTCCTTATGCAATCTTTTCTGGAAAACAGGAAAGGTTCCGTTTGATTGTTAATGCAAAATGTATCAAAACTAGATATTCTTATCAGTCAATGTCATATTTACAATTAAGGTAAATGTGCCAAATTACGGCATACTAACGCTTTGTTTCTGAATTGAGTATTTAAAGTTAAGCACGTGTCAACCGTCACTTAAACAAGTTTTCGCTTCCGATTTTAGTTTCTTTAATGATCAGTTGATAACAGTTATTGAATAATCAATTGGGATTTTGTACTTTTTTCAATTCAGATATATTATAATTTGAGAAAAGACATATTATAATGACGTATAGTTAACGTAGGGAAAATTCGTTACGCATTAACCTTGCCGACTGGCGAGTGTCAAGGGATATTTGGTGGAGCTTTTCTCCGTAAGTCCACTCGGAGAACATATTCTCCAATTGGTGAAGGAATTTTCAAAAACGAACCAGCACTTTCGGAGCTTATTTAATGTAAACAAATAATCAAATACAATAGAACCTCGATAAGATAAAGACCAAGGGAAACGTTAAATAAAAGTTAATAAGGTTTTTACCTACTTAAGGTTTAAGTTAAAGAGTTTATATTGGTTTATATTTTTATTTACAGAGGTTCGTTTATGAGTTTCGTTAAGGAATTTTAGAGATAGACGATTATTATTAAATCAAATTAAACTTTAAAATATAGGTGAACAAAATTACTTTATTTAAGATTTAAAAGTACATTCATTTAATTTTATTTTACTCTACATAAAAAACTCGGTATTTTTTTTTGTTTCAAACAATTCACAATTTCTTCATCAATTTTATTTTCAGTATCAAATAAAGAAGAGAAAATATCATCTTCTGTGATACTGCATTGCTCTACAAAAGATCGTAAAGTGTGTACAGCTCTCCTAGCTTCGTTGATAGACATAATTCTAGGTGGATCTCGTATCTCGTCATTTAAATCTTAGTCTACATCATCGCTCTTCAGACCATAGGCTAAAAGCTAATGATACAAAAAAAATACTATACTTAAACCTTAGTAGTGTATTGTCTACATTTTGAGCCATTTGGTAAACACGTGCAAGGAATAACAATGGGAATGAGAACCTTTTTTGTATGCACATTCATTTAAAATTACTCATTACAAGTTTGAATTATTGAGGTGCAATGCCCAAAGTATTCGTTCAAGTTGTAGAGCTTTCGTATTTTATGTAAAAGAGGTTTTGCACTCCGGTTGGAAGCGTCCACAGAATTTTATTAATTTATAGAAGTTTTTGCATTATCCAGGTTGTAGTATTCAAGGTTTCGTATTTATAATATCATGGTATACGAAGAAGGTCGTAAATATATAATATATTGCAGTAACTTAATGTGCTGCAAATACCTAGCAACAGTATCGACTCATGTCCGAGACATAAAAGATACTCGTAAATATGTCAACATCAAAGCATTCAGGGGGCCAATTCTACTAAATAAATTTTGTTTCAATCGAGTCGAAAACGGATCGAATCCGAACGAAACTACAGTTTTTAATGGTTTTCTATTCTACTAAGTGACATACGATACAATTCCACCTAAAATAGAACTGGAATTGTATCGTAAACCATTAAAAACTGTAGTTTCGTATGGATTCGATCCGTTTTCGATTCGATTTAAACAATATTTATTTAGTAGAATTGGCCTCCAGATGCTTGTTGCTGATTGCAGCACCATGTGCCTACATAGGTAAGGGGCCTATTTTTTTATCGTATAATTTTACGATAACGCCATTCAAACTATGTTGATAACCAGAGTTGTACACATCAATAAACAGGAATCCCTTAATGAATAACGAACGATTTTTTTTATGGGACTACGTCATTCTCATATCGTTGAGTCGTATTTATCAGTCGGTCATTCTTATAAAAAAAGTTCGAGGAAAAGCCAATCTACTTATTCTTTATCATAACTTTACAATACTATCAATATAGTAAGCTTTTTAGATCTTATTAAAATCAAAATAGCCTTAAATAGTTTCTGGTGACGATCTCATGACACATAGTCAAATAATTTTTGTTGGAATAAAAGCTGTACTTCTACTCAATAATAAATTCTAATATTTTCCATAAATTCTTTTATAGGAGTTAATTACATTTTGTATGTTACTAGAAGAGTATAAAATTATATATTTTTACAAGCTATTATTTAACTTGTCTTGTATGGAGTTTAGTTAGTGCGCATATCTTGGAACTCACTTCCCAATGTCCAATAGATTTTTACGAATCAGTTTTAGCGTATTTGGGAGACAAAAGAATGAAAGGATTTATTCCCAGGCAAGTCAATTCTTTAACAGCATACCATACTTCCATTTATCTTTGAAATCTTTAATAGAGGAAGAAAAGAAAAGACTTCATTATGCTTAGACAAAATATTCCTTCTCCTGCAGATTTTTTGTTTTTTTTTGGACATCTTTATAACAGACTGAATGTCAAACTAAAAATATGTCACTTTATTTACAGCATTTGTAAGAACTCTTCATGAAGCCTTTCATATATTGTTATACAGTGAAATTATTGTCAGTAAATAAGTAGAGATGCAGCTTTAAATTAAGATTATATTAATAAAATGCTTTTAATATTTATTCTACATATGTTTATGTTTAGCTTGTGTAAGTTTATCATTTCATTTTATTTTTATAGTGATTAGTTTAATGTTAGTTAAGTAAGTCTTTTTCTCGCATGACACACAGGAAGTTCCATGTTCAAGCCCTTGTGTTATTTTGCTCAATTTTATATAATTATTTATAGTTTTATACTCAGTGTGCATTAGTATTTTAATAAAAAGAATTTACTATATAAAATGAACTTTAATATTATTGTCTCAGGGTTGTATGTTGTATTACCTGCGTTATTTCCGATACTACATAATACGAATGCTTTATAGAGCTACTCGTTTAAGTTTAAGATTTTATTTATTTATATCTTTTAAAACTGGAAAAGCGTAAAGAACCCAACAGCCGCTTTGAAATTGCTCTTAGCCTTTTTTTTATCATGAATGACAGTTACCCAAATGTATAGGTTAGTATTTATTGTTATCAGACTCATTCTGTTCCCGTCGATAGTTGTCGAAGCTCGTGTGTGTAAACTTTAGTTGGTGTGAACTGAATAATTACGTAAAATTAATTCGCTGCTACAATCATGAAAGAAAAGGAGAAGATCGAAATGAAATATTGCGAGGTTTGTCTATAGTTTTATTAGTACAGGTGTTGTTATTAATCATGACATTTTAAAACAGTTTCTGTTGGTGTTTCAAATGTAGAATCAGTTTAACGAAATAACAAAAAAATGTTACATACACATTTATATTCAGTGATATGATATTTTTTAATAAAAAAACAATCAACCTTTTCACATAAAAACCTTATTGGACGTTTGTGAAAAGTTTATATTTTTTTAAATTAAAAATGATATGTTGAGGAATGTTCTAAATTTGAAAATGTGTATTAATTATGTCGCTTTACAATGTTTATAGAAGTATAAGTACTATATATCTGATGACGCGTTGTTTTGAGTATAGGTATCTAGCATAGGTACCTATAAGTAGGGCCGGCTCCTCCATATAGTCAAACTAGGCAACTGCCTAGGGCGCTCATATTTTGGTGGCAGCATGGTAAACAGGTTATTACACCAATTATCTGAATCTTAAAAATGCAGTACCTTAAAAAATAGTTTGTTCTTTGAACATATGTGCCTGTCCGCGGTATTAAAAAGTACAAAATTTTCAAACCAGCAGTACCTGTCTAAGGAGTTTCTTTTGTTATTCGCACAATAAAACTCTTTTGTTGTGTTTTTTATTATGAGCATCATTCTAATGTTTGCCTAGGACGCCAAGTTGCATTGACCCCGCGCTGTCTATAAGTTGATACTTATGAATAAAAATTAATCGCTAAATGTGCTAGACGAATACTCGACTGATGCAACTCGCCTCCTTACATTCGAGAGGGAATCAGTTAAAGTAACATATCTGTACCAATGGAAAGTGGTGTTAAGTGCGCCGTACTTGCCGGTTTTTCTGTACGTGAACACGGTAAACTTACAAACGATTGAAAATATTTTGATGCGGTTTTCATCAATGAACTTTTGGTGGTTGCGTACTGTGTTCTATTCACCAGAATATACAATATCAACGTCTTGGATTGTTTGGATGTTGAAAGCTAAACGCTTCTTAAATACTCGCGCTCCTTTTTTAGCGTGGGAGAGCCACTCTTCGGCATGAATGGGCCTGCTCGACCGGAGTGATACAACGGCCTCACAGAAAACTGACATGAAGCAACGCTTGCGTTGTGTTTCGTCGTGTGAGTGAGGGTACCGGAGGCCCAACCCCTCCCTATTCCCTTCCCTCTACCCTCAACCCTTTCCTCCCTATGATCATATTTGTCCCTCAAAGGCCGGCAGCGCGCTTGTAGCTCCTCTCTCTGTGTTGCAGGTGTCCATGGGAGACGGTACTCACTTACCATCAGGTGATCCGTCTGCTCGTCTGCCCCCTATCCCATAAAAAAAAAGAAAAAAATACTCAAACAAATGATATAATTAACAGATCACTGAAAATTATCTTCTTGCGTTGCTAACCGACTCACTGAGAATATATGACAATCATTGTACACTAGTGACATAAACAATATGAAAACTATAAAGAGTATAATATTTAAGGTACATAAATTTCGCTACAAACTGAAATAAAATTCATAAAACGGCATAATATTATGTGTGAAGTGGTTAAACCAAAGATGGATAAATGTTTTTTGTTGATGTTGTTCTACATTGTCTTGCAAAGGATAATCCACAGGGGGCTATTCCGGTGTTGAAAGGTAGCCAGTAAGCTTAAATTTCAGGTTGACCGCTTCTAAGAATTTTTTTGTATTCAAATAGTACAGATTACGAGTATATCTACTTTAATTTTCCAAACTAGTCCAATACTTTTTTGTTTTTTAAAAATTAAAAGATTGCAATTTAAATATTTTCGCCAAAATTCAATGCTTTTCGAAAACTTAAATAATTACATATGTTCTGAAATGATATCAAACACGATATTGTTTTGCGATTGATTTTTTAATCTATGGATTTTATTAAAAGCTTACTGAATATCTTTTTGTAAATTAAAAAATAATGAAATAAATATTATTAGGACTTTCGGTTTCTTTAAAAGGGCCTTTACAACATTTCAGCCACAGAACACACCCCTTATCTGTGTTATATGCCTACAGCACAATCGATACATTTATCTACTGTATCTACAGTAAAACTACCGATTTTCTCAATAGACCCGATAATATTGCAGTCTATATGAGTACCTATGACACAATCGATCGATCATGATTTTGATGACAATATCTGCTAATAAGTTGCTATCTATGCCATACATATTACGTTCATATGGAAATACGTAATGACTTGACGGTGATCATTAAGTCTATAATTTTTATCCTAGTACTAGCAATAAAGACTATCACAACAAACATTCTTTTAAATAGTAGACACGTGTACACGTCAGAAGAGTGTCTGCCAAACCCCTCAATCTATAACTCTAGACATAGGGTATGTTCCGATATACACTGCGAGCACTGCGCAGTGGTCTTACTGCTGAAAAATCCGTTCCGTTATGGACTGCCAGTACACTGCTACAGTACCCTAGGGAAATTCATGACGTCGTAAATTGCCGCCATATTTGTACTGTGAGCACTGGAGATTTCGAGGTAAGGTGCTCGCAGTGCTTTTGATCACGTGATCAGTCGAAACAGAATCAAAAAAATGATAAGTTTCTAAATAAACAAAAAAAAAATACTTACGTTTATTATAAGATGGATAAATAATTTTTTTATACAATTTTCCAATTTTATAATATTTTCTTTTGAAAAGAGGGAATCTTTATATTTATATTCACCTTGCATTAACAAATTTGAAAATGGCGCCAAAAAATAGGATTAACAGTATACTGAACTGCGTTCCGTTTTAAAAAGTCACAGTATAACTAGCTATAAAGGAACGGGCTTCCAGTATACTAAATTGACGTCATACTGTTCAGTGGTCGCAGTGTATATCGGAATATACCCATAGTATATGCCATCTTAGCGAAATCATAGCGCTATCTCGTTTCATTATACTACTTTGACACGTACTTTAATAAAGAAACACAATGATAAGAATGATGATTAAGGATTCGATAGCAGTGATTCCAATTTAGCCATTTGTCCCAGATTTATTCACCAAAATTGTTCTTCAGAGCAGAAAAGCTTTTATTTTTTTCGATAAATAATTCTTATAAACGTCCATGGTAACAAATAAGGTGTTCCTTAGTCAATTTATACGGACATTATGTTTTTTTTTTGGAAAATATAAAGATTTTCCACTTTAAATATCCATTTTGGTTTTGCAGGTTACTACGTGTTTGCTTTCCAGCGTCGATATAGCCTGATACAATTACCAACTTTCAGTATGGAGATCAAACTGTAAAACATAACAGCTGTTTCTTTATTATTATGAGGGTATCATATATTTCATTTTTAATATATGAATTAATCCATCAACATTTTCTTTCGGATTATTAGTAAAAAAAAAAAAAAAAAATTCCTTTAATTTCTCAATGGCATGATAAGCAAAATACATATAAGGTGATTTCTACGTATTTTCACGCTCTTACTAATGTTACTTCCATGAAATACATAAATTTACCTAATATTATATTTGGAAACTCATATTTTTATAAAAACACGGCCTTAAATATTTAAAAAATATTTGCAAAAAATTTAATAATCTTAACAATGAAATACGACTTCAATCGGTATTAAGTATATTTTGTTTTGAATCCAATGAAAATTTCCATTGGAATATTGCATACCAATATTCCCGTAAGATATTGGTATATAACACGCAATATATGCAGCAAACTTGAGTTAAACACATTATATATCATTAAAATCCACTCAGAAATACTTTAAATAAAAGTTTTATCATATTAAACTACTACTACTACAAAAAAGTAAAAAATAAAGTGTAATAAAAATCACTATTTCCTGTAAATTTTTTAGTTGCATTTCAGTAATTTTCATTGTCGCTATGATAAATAAAACCAAAATTTGTGAAAAAGTCGTGTTAGTAATTCTGCGTGAAGGAAATGAAGGTTTTTTGACTTGATATTTTTTTAATACCTTCCGTAGCTAAAATGAGATGGATTCTTAAATATAGTCTCTTGTAATTGGCTCACAAACTCGATTAAAAATATTCTAGGCTTATATCGAATTATTTCCGTTTTTCTCGTATTTGTATCAAGCTAATATGAAAGTAGTAAAATGAGACGAAATATCGTCATAATATTCGCTAATATGTCGTATTTAAAGTTACCACAATATGCTTCAATTTCTCAAGTGATTTTACACTTTACTTACAATACATTAAGGTTTACAATAAAGACGAGAAATTTGTCAGTGTTGTATAACTTGACGTGCCGCTGTACCTACCTACTTAGATATCATAAAAGTACGACACAAATGTAATTTAACTGACAGATGTTTTTATGTTATCAAGATATCTTAAAAGCATATTATTTTTCAATACAAAAGATTTTAAACTAAATGTGTCGGGTAACAAATAACTCCGATTGTCACTACACACTGATAGACATTATCAAGTTAAAAACATAACAAGCTATCGTTCCAATTGCTGACACAATAGATAATTGCGTAAAACAGCTGATTTTGCTTCATCTGTTTTCCTATTCAATAAATAATATGGTACAAGTACTACCTATACTACATTTTTAATACATAGTTTTTTATAGAATAGTTTTCCTGTTCGTGGAGTACCTAACCTTTTATATTTATAGCAAACAAGTAGCTAAAAATATTTACTGTTTTTGTATTAGTTTTTATGTTTGTTTATCGCTATTTCCAAAAAAAGAAAAAGCTTATCTACGTTAAAATATACTATTTATTGATTAATTTGACCTAGTTTATGTAAATATTTATCCAAAAAATTGTTAATCTTGTAAAATAATGTTTAATATTAACAAAACCAACTTTTTCTTGACACAAGTTACGGATAAATATTTATAAAAGAGTAGAATTCTAGTGGGAAAAATGTTATATAGATAGAGTATATAGGTAACATTGGATGATTGGAGCTTTCACTATGTTTACACAAGCAAAGGCTTTCTAGGTATCCTAGACTGCAACATATACTTGTGAAAGTAACAAAGATCCGTTACTAATACTCGTACTATAGTAACTATATCAGTGGGTAGTCTAATTCCCATCACAGAGTTACTAGAATAGAAAAGAAGGTTACAATGTAGGTAAGTGGATTGTTGGGAAAACTTTTCGAAAGCAAAATTTTATTCTTAAATCACAACACTGTACAAAATGAGGCGTTGTTTCCAATATATAATGAACGGCAGCGAGAGTTGTAATGTTAGATATAAAGCAGAGCATACAAGTAAAATTAACGCATTTGTAATAGAGAGATGAGACTGAAAGTTAATCAGAACATCGAGAGAAGCATGTTCTACAAATTCAGTGATACTTTTTTCCTTTGGGAATGACCATATATGTTTTTGACAATAAAAACTTATTTAAACATGTCCTTATTTAACAAATAGCTAAAGATTTGTCCGTCAAACTTGAAGGCCTTTTTTTTCAATTCTATTTAAAATTTCTGTATCACTCCTCTCTCTCAGGCGCTATCTCAATATCCATAATGTACTTTATGTTTCTAGGAAGCCAAGGATGAGAAGAAAAATAACAATAGCGACGGGGACGTGCTTTCAGCTGTGCTGGAGCACGTCGGCGACATGGGCCGCTACCAGAAGTTGCTGTTCTTGGCGATGATGCCGTTCGGATTTTTCTTCGCGTTTGTTTACTTCGTTCAGATGTTTATCGCTGCTACCCCTCAACGTCATTGGTGCAGGGTACCCGAGATGGAACACCTAGATATTGATTTAAGGTACATACTTTCATAATCATCTATAGACATGCTATTTTTAGTCTACCTCAAAATCGAAAACGAAGAGGTTGTATGATCGACGTCGATGTTTCTTTTTTTGAAAAAAAAAAAGAATATTAAAGCTGGTATAAGTTGGAAATATTGTCTGAAACATATTAGATAAAAACTATAAAATTATTAATACACCTGAAGACACCTCGTGCTCAGCTCGTATGTCGCGATTCATGGGTATTTCAAGTGTTGCTAAGTAATTCTACTAATAGGCGGTCTATCTAACGAGAGCCATCATTAGGTTCCTGATTATCGTAAAATTAAAATTCCTCAATAACGTAGTCTTGTATTTAAAGATTGCCCAACGATCCGAGCAATAGATGTTAATTTTTTTGCCACTGTGGATCTTGCGCTAACCAATGCTTTTGCATATCACAGGCGAAATCTGACGACTGTGCAGGTAGGCAGTGAGTGGGACCGCTGCCTCACGTATAGCGCCAATTGGAGCAATGTACTTGAGACTATGACAGCTCCCCATCCTAGCACACCGACGCAGCGCTGCGAGCATGGCTGGGAGTTCGAGCTAGGCGACATTCCCTATCACACGGTCGTTAGTGAGGTAAAGATTTTATTTGTTTAGGGTCATTGAGTAGAGGAAAATGCAAGCGAAGATTGTGTATTAGGGATATTTCCTTTTTAAAGACTAGCTTTGACTGGCTCAGTTTTTTCTGTTTCTTATTCGAAGAAGCTCAAACCTACCCTTCGGTTTCATGACAAACTCAAAAAATATTTATTTTAATCTAGATATTTTTAACTAATGACATTAACAGCTAGTTGCACAACCGTCCATTAAAATTTTCATTAGTTTAAAGGGACATTACCCATACAAATTTGACATTCATTAGATCTTAAAGGTGTAATTAAACATTTGTGCAACTGACCGTAAATCCGGTATTGACTGGTTGCTAGCTTTGTGTAAATAATAAGACGACCTCAAATCAACTAATGGCAATAAGATATGCTCGTGCGTGAAACGGCGAATTATCAAACAAGTTTTAAGCTTTTGTAATGAAGTGTCTGCACAGATATGATTTATATTCGTTGTTAAATTACGACGTTACGGTATAAAATGAATGGACACCGATTTTATGGTCTGTCATCCATAATATTACGATTTCACGGCGAACTTTTAAGGCAGCGTTCTAAAAAATGGTTGTTATTCCACCACTCAGAGATATTATTAGTATGTTTTTTGTGACTGACACTAACATAAAACTTAATTAAAATTAAACCTAATTAACAACAGTAGCGTGTCAAAATGAGCGAAGATAATTTGTACTCAAACTTGTCAATAAGCTAAATGAGAACTTTAATTTATAACCTTTGGTGAGCTTGATTTTTATCAGAGATTTTTTTAAGATCAGTTGACAGCATTTTAAATAAATGCTAGGACTATATGCCTTGTGAAAACAATAATCTAAAGTTATTGAGAATAATCAATTAAGATTTTGTACTTTTCTTAATTCAGAAACTAGCCTTAAGTGTCGAAAAGTGATTACAAGTACAATCCTATTTATTAAGCTGTCAGGAGGTTTTTTTAGATTTTGGACTGTCCTTTTGATTCAAATCCAATATCTATATATTTTTTTAACGTAACAAGGTAAGTTCCGTTCGGAAATTCTTACTTATTTGATGAACTCATTACCTTTAACAGACTTGCGAATTATTATTTGTGTACAGCGAGGATGGGTGTGCGAGTACGCCGGCTTCGGCCCGTTGGCGCAGGCTGTATTCTTTGCCGGTTCGTTTGTCGGCGGACTTTTCTTCGGATGGCTCGCAGACACTTTCGGCAGAGTACCCGCTTTGGTTGGTAAGATTATTGTGTTAAAATTACATTATTTCTGTTTAATTAATATTTAATTATTAATTCATATTAATATAGCCTTTTGGCAGTGGCATAACTATACCGTTTGAGGCCCGTGGCAAATTCATCGGATATTTTTTTTTTTACTAATTGCGTAATAATAAATATGAGGAGTAAGGAGTCTCCTCTGACCGGGGGAACCCTTCCAGCAGATTATTGTAATGATTATAATTTGAAAAGCTTTAGTTAAATGTAAATTTTTTCCCATTATTACATATCGAAATGTATTTTTTTCTCACAATATTGATTGCTCAGATTTGCTTATTCCGTGTTTCTATTATTTCCCCCTTTACCTTGTACAGTTGTTATGAGAGTAGCGTAAAATTTATGTTAATGTAACATTTCGTTTTTTTTTCGGCAACAATCCGTGGTCGAGTATCTCGAGTCACAGATACACATTCACTTTTATATATTGATTCGGAACTAAGTGGTACACTTCCATATAAAAGAGTTAACTTAGGATCTGAGCACTTTGTGATGTTGTCTTTTTGTTTTAGGTACAAATTTGATAGGTTGTGTGGGCGGGGTGGCGAGCATCTTCACCACTGGACTGTGGGATTTCGCCTTCTGTCGTTTCCTCGTCGGAATGTCTTATGACAGCTGCTTTATGATGATGTACATATTGGGTAAGAGAATGCCATTAAAATAGTATGTAATACTTGAAATAATTTTTACAATCTACATAAATTTTGTAATAAACAGTTTATTACAAAATTAAACAAATGCTGATATTGCGATTAGCTCGGTGCCGTAGTGGATTAGCGCCGCGGCACGTGATCGTAGTCGTTAAGCAACTTTCGCAACGGTCGGTCACGGGATGGGTGACCAAAAAATTATTATCTCGAGCTACTCCGTGCCTCGGAAGGCCCGTTAAGCCGTTGGTCCCGGCTGCATTTGCAGTCGTTAATACCCTCCAATCCGCATTGGGCCAGCGTGGAGAGTCATGGCCCATCCTCCTTAACCATCCTTAAGGAAGGCCTGAACCCCTGCAGTGGGGACGTAAAAGGGCTGATAATGATGATGATGATATTGCTGGGGAATATTATATCGGTCCGTGATACAATGTAAAACATTAATAGGGGAATGGAGGATTATTAACCCCTTGATTCAGGTTTTTTTATTTTACCTGTGTTAATAATACATTTGATAGTATGGCTCATTGTGCCAAAAAATTATAAATTAATAATAAACATATATTACAAATATAATTCATAGAATGAACTACTGGGAATACTAGTGAGTGGGAGAGCTAGAATAGGGATGATGACTGGGTAAAAAAAATGCAATTCTATTTAGTCCGTCAGTCAGATAATAGAAAAATATTAGATACGTATTTTTTTCATTTCAGTTTAATAAGAAATAGCTTAGATAACAGGCATGAAAGTTGAGGAGTGGGGGCTCGCTACGTCACAGTTGAGTAGAAAACGTACCCTAACGTGACGTCATGCGAAATTTCAACCCAATATAACGCCGTAATTTTATGATTACGAAAAAAATAAAAAAATACGTGTTTAATATTTTTTAACACTACCTGACGGACAAACAAACAAAAATTAGTCATCATCCCTATTAGCAAAGAATCAACACGCGCGCCCCGGTGACTTATTGTCACCCTGACACGTTGTCTCCTCTCACCATGTTGGTGAATCGTTCCGGTGTGGGGCGGGCACTTGAACACGTGACAATCAGGTGACAGAAACGATATGTCACGATGACAAATCACCAGTGCGAGCGTAGCCTATATGTTTGATATTAGGAAGAGACGAGACTAAGGTACAAAATAATTTGTCACTACAGTTTTGGAGTACGTGGGACCTCGTCACCGCACGTGGGTGGCGAACATGTCCATAGCCTTATACTTCGGGGGTGGATGTCTCGTGCTACCCTGGCTGGCGGTCTGGATCGGTGATTGGAGAACGCTGCTCTTGGCCACAAGTCTGCCTATGCTTATAGCGATTGGTGCGCCGTTTGTGGTGCCTGAGAGTGCAAGGTGATTTTTAGTAATATATACCAAAATTTACCAATATCAAAGTTGAAAACCTGCACGTGAGTTTCATTATAAGTATGCGACATAAATTTAGATTATAAAAACGTAGGTAAATTTATTTTTAGCGTAATATCGATTAAAAATGTTGGTAATCGCCGCCAATATTTTAAAATCGAGATTAATGAATTTTATATTTCTGTTTCCATAAGTCGGTAACGGTGACTCCAACTAACTTCGGTAACGGATTTTAATCCCACTTTTTATGAAAGCAAGAGTATTGCTTTATTGTGTATCAAAATCACTCCGAAAGATTTGATAATGGCGATTAAAATTAATGGTTGGGTAATAATCAGACGAAACGGCCTTAAATCTGTTTGTTTTAAAGCTTATCTATTTTACAAGTGCTAATCGTCTGTCTGAAGGAGTGTCTACATAAAAACTATGTAGGGGAAAGTACTACGCACTGAGAGCTGTGCTGAGACAAAGCAAACAATACTTACACTAGTATCTATCTATAGTCAAGAGAAGTAATTGCTTGAGAAAATCTTATAACTCAAGTAAATATTTTTAACATAGAGACGAGAATTTTAATGTGTTAAGAACTGTCAATAGCTAAAATCAATAGCGTTCAAAATTTTTAAAGTTTTTATTTCCTTGAAATTCTTGTTTATTTGTCAAAAATATTTGCTAAGCTCGACTATAGATACGAGTGTCAGTACTATGTTTTATTGAGTAATTGCTTGTTTAAGCCAACTTTCAATGACATATTGTAGTTTATAACTTGGATAATCTTGGATTTCTCAAATTCGTTTATGATAGGGAAATTAGGCTTTTATGGTTTTAAGGTTTATCTGATTAATACAATATTTGTTTTTTTTTCTGACTTCAATAAATAGGATATTCTCTGCACCTAAAAACGAAATAGTTTAACGAAAATTTCGTGAAATCTGGATTACCCGTTAACCTTTACAAAACAAAACATCACGTTATTGTATCGTGGGTTCGATTCCCATCTCAGGGTGCCAGGGACCAAGTGGATTTTTTTTAGCATCACGTTATTTTAGACAAAAAAAAACTTTAAATTACAATTATTTCACGTACCAAAAACGAACTCGAACTTACTTATAATACTTGCCATGATGTTTTAGGTGGCTGTCATCGAGAGGAAGGGTGAATGAGGCGGTCAAAGTGCTGAGAAGGTTCGAGCGAGTGAACGGCACCAAGATACCGCAGGACGTGATGGATGAATTTGTAGTTAGTACACTATTGTTATAAACCGATGAGCAACAATTACAAGTTACTTCCTACAAATATATAAAGCCGCGTATGACTTCTCGTAGGTGAAAGAGTTGGTCATTATCGGATTAGTATTTACGAAGATTATCCTTTACAAACAAACAAATTTGGAAATTTTACCTCTATATAATATTTTCTTAAAAAAAAGCTTACCAATTTCTGGTGTGAGTAAAATATTATGCCATTTTTATTTTTAAACAATTTTGCATTCGTAATGCTATGCTGGTGAATATTCCTTAATGAATTTTTTTTTAAAAATTCACCAGTCCCAGGTACCCCGAGATGGAACTCGAACCCACGACCTTTCGCTGTCCGGGCGACTGCTCTAACCACTGAGTTACCCGAGACCCAACAGGATTGACATGCAATATTATATTTACTTATATGTTTTACTATTCTTAATATTTTAATAAAATTTTAATCTGTCCTCAATTAGCCGGGTCCATTAATGCAACTTTTAATGTCGTCTGCCCATCGTTTTAACTGTTTCGTCTCTTTTTTGTACCTTACTATACTTACTCTTTATAATTCAAATAAAGACTTTAATATTTTACAAAATAATAAACAATGACACGCTTGCATCAGGTGTCTTCAAGTAAAAGTCGTCAGTCAAGCGAGTCCATCAAGGCGTTATTCCGCAGCGGTCCCCTGCGCAATATGATGCTGTACATGGTGGTGGTGTACATGGGGTGCGCGATCATCTTCGATGGTTTGGTGCGCATGTCCGAGGGGCTCGGCCTCGACTTCTTCATCACGTTCACACTCACCTCCGCCACGGAAATACCATCTGTGACACTCTTAGCTCTCATACTGGACAGGTGGGTTTTTTATTTGTCTTTAAGTTTTTTTTTTTTACTTTTTGTCTTTAATTACGACAGCTTTAGATATACAAAAAGAATTTCACTAGTTTGAATGTCACACTAAATCGGCTGTAGATTTGGGGAGGCATTGCTCCACTAAACTACGCAAGCACTGGGTCCAAATTAGGATTATTCTGGATACTCTGAACCGACACCTGATTTACATCTCCTCTATAGCCTAGCAAAGCTTATAGACCTTTTGATTACACATCGGAAATGAGAAAGTGCTAACTTTTCTTTGTTACCGAGGCATGGATAGCTATCATCCCATTGATATAATAAATGCGCAAGTTTGTGAATAAATAGGAACGTATGTATGTTTTTTACTCTTTCACGCAAAAACTACTGAACGTATTTGGAGTAAATTTGGTATACGGTTACTTCTAATCCTGAATTAACATATAGCTTACTTTTGATCCCACTTAACAGTTCCTAGGGACCACGAGGGCGAAACTGTTGGCGGAAAAGTAGTTACTTCAGCCTCTTTTTATCAGACAGGTGTTTTGTCTTGGAAAAAAACATGTTCTATGCTGTATGTCGTTGACTAATATTATATCAAAGACCAAAATATGACGTGGCTGTAACCCATCGAGCGGGCCCAATGATGATAAAACTGATTAGACGTCTGATGAGCGGCCTCGACGCTGCTTTGCTTAGTCGCATGCCAATGGACTCAGCAATAACAGACCGAACTCGTCAACTAGTGTGTTCTAGAGCTACCCAGTTTAGTTATATGGTTTTCTCTCTCTCTGGCTCAGATGGGGCCGTCGCATGTTAACGGTGGCACCCCTCACTATAGCTGGCTCACTCACACTCATCGCTGCAGCTGTACCTAAAGGTAAGATATCACTCGACTGTTTCTTATTGTATTGAAACGCCATTGTAAATGTAATAGAGTAGTTTCGGTAGTGAAAAATTAATTACGAATTGCACAAACACTTAAATGTGGCGATGGCTGTTAGATTAGTCATAAATATATGCCTAATCATTATAAATCAAATTCCTAGATGGCGCTGTTCTTGGCTTATTTATATCTTTTTAATTTCTTGATCGATTGTTAAATGGCACTGTTCTTGTTTTATTGACATCTTTTATTCTTCTACTCTATGCATTTGTTTTTCTATTACGTCATGAACATGGCGGACTGCGTTTCGCGGGTAAAAAAGAAGTTTGTATTTAGATTTAATTTTAAGGTAAGAAAATGGGTTTATATTTCAGAAATATTTGTTTTATCTTTTTTTTTATTAAATTATTTTAATTGATAGAAACATTATAAATTATCATTTGAGATACCTTTTTATGATAATCGTAGGCTCTGCATAATTCGTAATATAAAAATTATACCTGATGCTTTCGCGCGCTCGGTCTATTATTTATTATCTGGAGCTCCTCAGTGCTTCGAAAGGCACTTTAAGCCGTTGGTCATGGCCCATTCTCCCTATTTGATCTGATTCGATTCCATTATTTGTTAAGACCTGAGCACCAGGAGAGGGCACATTAATAGACTGGTGATGGATTATATGAAATTATAACATTGGTTTCCACTGGTGACAGGTATTCCTCAAGTGACGTTAGCAATAATGTCACGGTTCTGTGTGAACATGGCGTACAACGCGGCCATACAGTGGTCGACGGAGCTGCTGCCCACCCCGGTCAGAGCTTCCGGCTCCTCGCTTATACACGTGAGCGGATACGTCGCCACAGTCGTATCGCCCTTCATCGTGTATTCGGTGAGGACCTCGATAAAACCTTAAAATTAAAATCGCAAATCTAGAACAGTTGTTTTATTGGTCTAAGGGTTTCGTGATAGAAATGTGCAAGCGCTTTTTGTCGAGCAGGAGCGCGTATGGCAACCGCTGCCGCTGGTGGTGCTGGGCGCGCTGGCGCTGTGCGCGGGCGCGTGCGGCGTGCTGCTGCCCGAGACGCGCGGCCGCCACATGCCGCAGACCATCGCGCAGGGGGAGCTGCTCGTGCGCACACACACGCTCTGCGGGTACGCGACACACACACACACACTCACACTTTTTCGGCAACAACACGATAGGGATGACGATTAATTTTTGTTTTTCTGTCCGTCAGGTTATTGAAGAATATTAAACACGTATTTTTATTTTTATTTTTCGCGTATTCAATAAATTACGGCGATTTATTGAGTTGCGATGTCGCATGACGTCACGCTATGGTACAATTCTACAAAACTGTGACGTAGCGAGCCCCCACTCCTCAACTTTTATGCCTAATATAATAACTAAGCTAAGTCTAATATTTTTCTATTATCTGACTGACGAACTAAATAGAAATTCTTCTTTTTTACCCAGTCGTCATCCCTATTCATTTAAAAATAGGAGTATTTTTAGACAGTCTATTACTCGATCTGAAATCTATGCCCGTCCCTTCTGAATGTTAATAAATCAGTTAATCATCGACACTCCTGGCGTCTACGCTCAGGTTCCCGAATGCTACTCCCAATTGAGGACATACCCATTGTTTTAGTAGATAGGGCGCTTGTGCACTACACTGAATTTTCATGTCCGGCGGTCCGATTTTTTCAGGTCCGATATGTCAGGCCATATGTAGGTAATGCGCGCTTGTACACTGTCAGGAATTTTACCGTCCGGAATTTTACTTTTCTCTATTCCAGACCGGTTTTTTCAGGTCCGTGATGGCGGCAATGAAAAACGTGTTTACGCTTGTGCACTGCTGTGTCCGAGATCCGGAAAATTCATAAAGAATAGGCTTGGGAAAAAATAATCGATTTGAATCGATATTTATTTCGGCAATATTGTTAATTTCCAATAAACTTATAATCGATATTTATTGTTGATTATAAAATGCTATATTTTATATTATGATTTAATATAGTTGGTATATATCACTGCATATGCTTTGGCAAACTCGGTATAGTTCTAATTTGATCAGCATATGGTTCTAGTATCGATACTTAGCTAGATTTTAGAATCGTATTAAAAGTATCGATAGCTTAAGGTAAGATAAATAAGTGTTGTTACGTTAAAACAACTGAACCCATCTAAATGGAAATTAATATAGTAAATATACTTAACTTTAAGAAAGGACATAGGCTACATTTTATCGCGAAAAATAGGGGATGAAAGTTTGCCTGGAAATTTGTCATTATCAAATTTTTTTAAACAATTGATAAGTATAGATAAATATTTGACAACAGAAGTAATAATAAAGAATAAACAGAAGATTAACAAAAGTAATTAAGTGACACTCAATGTCTTTTTCGCATTTATTAAAATTTTAAATGTACGTTTGTGTCATTAATAAATTTTTAAAAAATAAGTATTCTAAGGGAATAATATTTCTGCTCAAAGAAACTACACCACGCGTATAAAATTATGCCTATATATAATACAGTCAACTGATCTCGTAAAGTTCATTTAGCATAATAATTCTCCGCTAACACGGCACTAATTTCGATTTGTTTACAAAATGGCGCCACCGATTGGTCTATCTCTGGAATCGCTGAATGTTGTTTTTACAAAACTTCGAAAAAAAAACACATTTAAAAATTTTAACATCAAGTACTAGACCATTATGACTAATTTTATTCTAATGATATTTTTAGCTATTGTATGTGAATAATGCTGTTCCTAAATTAGTAAGGGTATAAGTTTTTACATCTGATAGTAGTAAAAAAAATGCTTTCGTCTTGCCATAATTTATTATGGTTTATGTAAAACGATCAGATCATTATTTAGGTACCTTTCTACGTCTTCGACGGAATTACCAATGTTCCAAAAATCTCGTCGTACCTAGCGTAAGTGACGTGTAGCTTCAAAGAGAGCTGCCCTACACTGCGCCGCTCCGATCAGGAAAAAAACGGACAAGTGCACAAGCTACTCATTCGAGTTTTTCATGTCATTCCAGACCGGAAAAAATCGGACCGCCGGACCTGAAAATTCAGTGTAGTGCACAAGCGCCCATAGGCCCTAATAATTCGACCCGTGTTGTCATGCCCACTCACTCCAACCCCAGAAATACGATTATTTATCCCACTGGGTTAGAAACTTGATTGTTAAAGTAGATCTTGATAGTTAGATAAAATTAGAGTTTTTAATGAAGTGAGTTTTTTCCTGAAACATTCTGAAATATCGTTCCTCTATATTCAATTAATATATTTTTTCTTTCACAGAAAACCTGAAGTAGATGACATTGAAGATTTCACGAATAACAAAGAGGGCGCTCTTATCACGTAGGATGAATACACAGTTTCTTTTGGAACTCATTCATATTGGTAGAACCTATGGTGGAACGTTCGTGCCTATGTAAAACTTATGTTTTCATGAAGAAAGGCCTTTAATCTTACTCAAAAATAATCTTTTAAATGCAAATAGTTTTATTATTTAATAATAGGTTGGGGAAATTTCTTATATGGAAATTAAAAATGTATATATTAAGTTTATTTATATTTAACTCAAGTATGTAGATCCCATTTTGGTGCTATTACTTTTTGCCATCTTATATGTAGGGACATGATCCCATTGCTATAAAAAATTTGGGGTTTCTGATAAAAAAAAAACGGCGACAAGTGGTTTCGGCAGTCCTCACGTGAAGTTTACCTGAAACTGTCTAAAGAATTCTGAAGAGACCGAAATAGGTAGAAATCTGAAGGTACGGCGGATGCATTAACACTTCCCAGCCAAACTCTCTTAATTTTTGCTGAGTGGCAAAATATCTAGCGTTGTCATGTTGATTAATTCAGGCCGCTTTCTCTCAACTTCTTGCTTTAATCTCATCATTTGTTTGCAGTAGAGTTCAATATCGATAATCCTGCCTGGCGGTAATAGCTCATAATGAATAATGCCCTCCTAATCCCACCATACACACAGCATCACCTTATTGCGAGTTTACACGGGTTTAGCCACAGTCTGTGAAGCCTGACCTACCTTTGACCACGACCTTTTTCACGCGTTCTTGTCGTACGTGATTCACTTTTTATCACCAGTTATAAGTTTCTACAAAAATGTTTCGGTTTCATTACGCCGTAATAAGGAATCACAAGTGATTTCACGGTTCATTAAGTTACTTTCAGTGAGCTCGTGAGGTACTATAAATATCCAACTTTTTTGTGTACCCAGCTTTTTTCAAATGCGCCAAAACTCTTTTGTGGCTAATCCCCATTTTTTCAATTACTGATATGCAGATCCTGCTCCTCTTTTTTAAAAATGGCATCCATTCTATGCGTAACGGGCGACCAAAACGACGTCCATTTTTGACATCAAAATTACCGGTCTGAAAACGCTTAAACCAAGTTTGTACTCTCACAGAAACTGCACAAGGTCCTTACACGTCACAAATTTTTTCACGGGTTGCGTTGCAATTTAACCTGTTTAAAAAAAATATCGATAACATACATTTTCTTATTTGAATTCGAAGTCATCTTCTTTTATAATTTAAACTTTAATGATATCGAAACCACCCAGATAAGATACAAATGGCCAAACAGCCAGAAAGATTTTATTACAAGTTAATACATACTTTATTCGAAAAAACTTTTTCCCCAACCTAAATCATAGCAGTAATGTGTCAAGCAAAGCTGACTCTATTACAAGAAAACATGTTACATGCCATTAGAAAACGCATAATATAAAATTCATGCAAGTTAAAAGATTCCTAAGTTGCATTGCATACATGCTAGTTTTTCATTCTATATTTGCATATTATTTAATTTTTTCACAACGGATTGAATTTATTTTCACAACGGTTCAGAATCTATTTCAAGAATCTTTCGAATCTAATAAATTGTTCGAATACTGTAATGAGTTTTAGAAGTCGTACTTAGACTTTTTACTTAAAGAATTAGCTTTCTCGGCACATCACTAAATCGAATTTTCAAAAATAAGTATTTGTTAAGTACAATGTATTTCGATGTTTTATATCATAAAAGGTCTATTAAAAATTCTTATTAGATGCTGAAATAAAATCGAACATCTTATGGCGCACATCTTATAAAATATAAGATAAGTGTGAGAATATTGTAGATATTGCCTTAAGAAGACGATTTTCACAATCCCTACACAGTATATACTGTGATAGTAATTATACTATTAATGCTCAGAAGTTCATTGTCGCTCAATCGAGTAAAGTTCATTTTGGGTATTGTAATAGAATAATGTACAATTAGTTAAATATATGTATTTATATTATTTATGTTATAATAAATCGGTGCTATATTTTACATGTCACTTCATTTTAAAATTAAATGAAAAATCTTGAAAAGAGGGTCAGTATGAGTTACAGTAAGATACAACTAATGTGGCACATTGAAATACTTTTGCAGAAGGTTAAATTTCGAAGTGCGGCAATTTTCATCCAATTAGAATGATTCAAGTATTTCGCCATCAGGCACTATACTCATATCCATACCCTTAGCCCCCTTCAAGTGGTAGTACGTAGTCTGTGAGTGAGATGAACACATAATGCTATTTTACGTCTTCTTGTTGAACAATTAATTTTAATTGTACATCTGAGTATCTGACTCAGAAGCTCGGTGGCGTAAGTAGCTAGATGGTAGGTACATTTAAATTTAATTTTTAAACCAAACGAACAAAGATCTGGAGCAAGAACAAGTGCATTCTATCTTGTTTTTCTGTTGTAAACGAAAACTCTCATTCTTCCTTTCATTCGAACAAAGAATTAGAATTCAGCACAAAATTTAGATCTAGGAGTGGTTAGACGGCCTAGTGGGTAAATGCAACGGTCCGCGATCGTTGTTGTTGACCAAAAATTAAGGCACGTGGCCTCGGCTGCCTTTTTAGTCGTTGATACTTGCCGATCCGCATTGGGCCAACATGAAGGGTCATGGCCCAACCTCCTTAACCACCCATAAGGAAGGACTGCCCCTTTTTTAAAGCAGATGAAATGCAACTTTAATCCTTAAACAAGGGCTCTCCGACCCCGTATCCGCCTTGACATGCTTAAGCGAGACCGGTCTACCTGGTAAAACCCACTGCAAGTACCCTCCGGGGGGAAGGACCCAGGGTTCCTGCAATGGGGATACAAAAGGCCTGATAATGATTGGGTCATCGTCGGAATTGTAAGTCTGCTGCATAAACAGTTTTGCTATGCCCCATATTAGATGCATCTTACTGCAGCTCAGTTGGAAGAGCACTCGGCTGGTTATCGATAGATAGCTGGTTCTGGTCCCGACTGGTGCCTGAGATAGATGACGATTTCAAAGATTTTTCTAAAATAAATATTAAGATAGCACTTTGAATGCAAAATTATATAGAAATAATAATTGTTAGGTTTATTTTTGTAACAATTAATATCATTCAATTATTCTGTTGGCTTAACTATCATTCCATTTAATTAAAAAAAAATGGGTTTTCATCAAAAAATATTGATTTAATAATAGTTTTTCGCATAACAGTTTTAAACTCAATCCTACTGTGATAGTTACAATT